TCCCGAAGACCGCCAAAACCTGCCCAAACTCGCTAAGTAAATTCGGAAACCCTAAAGACCCCAATAAGTTTTCAGGCCCTGAACACTCAAACCCCAAGCACGGGCTTAGGGCTGTGCGGTTTAAGGCCCATAACTTAGAGCTTGGTTGTGTCATTCTGGATCAAGTGGGTTAGGCATTATTAGGGTTGAGGTATTAGGGTTTTGGATTACGGTTTCGAATGACTTCGGTTGTTATGCCTTCAACAATGATTTGGGTCATGATTTTTCTATTATATTCCTATCCGTCTTAATACTACGAACCCTTCTTCTCCTACCTGTACTCCTACCCCCGCTACTACCACCATTTCGTCTGCTGGCTGCTAAGTCGGGGGGGTAGGACCAAGAAAGAATCTTAGGTTCAGGGTTGCGGGTTTCGGGAATTTGGGTTGTGAAGTTTTGCTGACTTAGAAATGAGAGAAGATAGCAACCATTGAAATATATCCAACTCAGCTCTTAGGGCCTTAGGGTTTCCGGACTTGGAAATTTGGGAATAATTTGATTGGGTGAAGTTTGAAACCGAGATAGTTAGTGTAAACCCTGGGAGTGTTGGCTGCTGCTGCTGCTGCTGCTGCTGCTGCTGCTGCTGCTGCTGCTGCTGCTGCAGCAGGCGACGGACGCAGACGCCTGCGACCAGGCTCAAGAAGGAGAGGGTGGGGAGGAGGAGTGCCCTCGTGAAGTTGATGACTGTGTTCCTGGAGAAGATATTGAATCCAACGATGAAGCTGCAAAAAAAAGTGGCACTTTCAAGGACTGATCTCCAGCTAAGTCTTCGTGTAATACACTTGCTGATTTCAATTGATGAAACTGCCTGTTCTGCAATTTTAGCATGCATATGCATACAGGATGAAAAGGCAAAGACTGCATCGGTGCCTTCATTGCCGAAGAAATCGATCTTGAAAGCCCAGAAACTTTTAAAGGAGCACAAAGGGGATGATCCGAACTTGGCTGTGCAGGCTGTGTCAGTACTCTCGTGCTAGCTTTGCACGAATCCTCCAACTTGTGATTCTTAGCTTTCCGGCTAGGCCCAGCAGAAAGCGCGCAGAGCCCTTCGCGAGAGAGCGAAGGGAGAGGCCGTGGATGACGATGATCCGCAGTCAGAGGACTCGGCTGCACGCGGCCGGGGGAACAGAGGCAGGGGGCGAGGGCGAGGGAGATCAGGCAGAGGCCGAGGCCGGGGGCGGACACAGTCACGGGACCCCCCTCCGATGAAACGCCCAGCTTCCAAGCAGCCCAAGGGTGCCCGGGAGAAGAAAGCCCCAAAGAAGGATCCTGAAGAGGAGGATACCAAAGGAAAGGAAGGCCAGGAGGAAAATGAAGAGGAAGGCCAGGAGGAGAATGAAGATGAAGGGCAGGAGGAGAATGAAGAGGAAGGACAGGAGGCGAATGAAGATGAAGGGCAGGAGGAGAATGAAGAGGAAGGGCAGGAAGAGTCAAACGACGCGCCCAAAAAGAAACCAGCAGCCAAAGACCCGCGAGCCAAGGTTCCCAAGCATACGTACTATATATATGCACAGTAGATGCCTTTGCCATTAGGGTTGTTGATCTGTAAAGATGTTGTTGCCCCGTCGCAGGTCAAGCAAAGGTGGGTTCCAAGCCTTCGAGCTCTGGCCAGAAAGGACCCACGTATGGTGCTGAGTGAGGACGTTATTGACGGGCCGAAGGGGTGGCAACCCGAGCTTGTCATCAACGAATGTTATCTTTCGAAACAATTTATTTGTTTAGGTATCTAAATTGCTAGGTCCTGGACACTTCGATCCGATGGCAAACCATCTCCAATCGGAATCGTGCCGAAGCCTTACTATGAAAAGCCATCTCGAAGAAAACAGAGCAAACTCCCAAATGACAGAACCCTCGCTCAGGTTCGGGCCTTACAATGGACACTTCTACGTGAACAAGGCTACCCCGCAGCGAACGGCAACAATGAACGAGAACTTCAACACGGACTTTGAAGCTCCCGACCTACAAACCTTCAGCCCAAACTTTAAAACTCCAATATCCCTTCATCGAGGTCAATGCAAAGAATGGCTTCAGCCTGGGCTGGCAGAACTTCGAAGATCTCGAGACCGCGCCTCCCGCCCAGAGGTTCTCACAAATTTTTTTGAGGTTGAGGAGTCGAGTCTGGCTTTTCATGTCGCTTTGGAAGCTGCCTAGGTGGAGTGCTGCCTGTCTTGCTGCTGACTGGGAGTAGTTCTACGACATGGCTGCTATCACCGATACGATACCTTGCACTGCCTGAGAAGCTGCTTCATGGACCTAGCAAAAGTGCTCTGATGCTTGCGCAACAGGTGTGAATCTCGAGCTTGGCATTGCATGCTTCTGTTCATTACAGTGCTGAGATGCCTGGTGGCTAGGTTTCGTGGCTCCACAGGGTTTGTCAGTGCTGGGTTTTCGTGGATCCAGCCAATATGTTTTGGATGCTGAGCGAAGTCGCGATAACACGTGACACTTGGTTGGCCTTGCTTTACATGGGCTTCCCGAGTGTCCTGCTGCTCGAATGCATCAAATCAAGAGCAAATGCTTCCTGAAATCCACACCCTCTACCCGTAATGCCCTGGCTGCAGGCTACACCTTGCCGACTATATCGCGCAAAATGCAGAACAACCGAACGACTGCCGTGTGCTCCCCCTAGTGCCCGGTCTCGCGGGACTTGGAATGTTGGTAGCGAAATGTGCTGGGTTGCTTAGGACTTGATTTGTCTGGATCTTTTCGGCGGCCGGCGATCTGTGGAAGCAGGGTTTAGCTTGGATCTCAGATGAAACAAGTAAGGGGTCATCCGTGTGTGTCCGTATTCCTAAGGCAACTTGGGATATAAATCGCCCCGGTCTTACTCTGATATTTCTTCGACAGTACTGTCCGCTGATGTGCATTGCCTAGGGACTTTTTCGATATGGGATCGAGAGAGGACGACAACCTCCTGACGGTGCAAGGTCCCTAGTTACACAGGCTCCCTAGTAATGAAGCAAATGTAGCTTTGTCTGATTCTAAGGTTGGGACTGCTACGGGCGATGGCGAAAGTGCTGAGGTTGGCCCCAAAAGGTCTTCTAGCAGCAGGGCTTCCCTGCTCAAGCTTCGTCTGGACGAACCGTAAGACGTCGGGAAGATCGGTACGCCGGATCTTCGGTACCGTCAAGTACAAATACGTGAAGGAGGCAAATGTGTCCTTCGGTAGCATTAGAATTTCGGTGTCGCATCTCGGTAACCAATCAATCCCTATCAAATTCCAACCGATGCTTGGAAATCAGCTTGTATGCAAAAATACATTATCAACCCCCCAAATGTGCTATCCTCTCGAACTTCAGGTTCCAGCTAATTCCACAATACGTGCTATATCAGCTATTACTAAGATCTTGTGTCACTATTGAGCCCCAACCCAATAGATTGAACTAATCTTAATATATGATTAATAATAACATTATATTACATGGTGCGCAAGTGTGCACTTCAAGCTTTGAGCCCATAGATGTCACCCCAAACCACCAGACAGCCGCGAATGTCAAAACCTCGACTATCTCTGCCCAGGTTAGCGACTCGCGCTCTCCTGTTGTGCGTCTTAGCATCGATGCGGTCGGTGCATTGGTACATCGAACAACCCTCCTCTTCGCTACTCACGAACCTCCCGTATTTCCTGTACATCCGCGAGATGCTGAAGCATTACATCCCCATTTTACTCGTCAGGTTGTCCCAGCCTTATTGCAGCATGCACCTCTGAAATATGTTGCCGCGAATTTGCTACATTATGCTGGCACTTGTCCCATGCCTTGCCAAGTTGCATGGGAGTCTACGGGCACTCTACTATGAAGCCGACGATTCTGGTGGGAACCCCGCAAGAACCTTGGTAGCTCCTGAACGTTTCCAATTCTTGGTTACCAACATATTGCAGCTGCAGGCCTTGGCTGCCCAAGATGTACAAGAAGCTCACGCGGGCCAGGAAGGCGGAGCTTGGCCTTTGCTCCAAGGGGGTTGTCAAGCGGAGGTTTGACAAAGGAGGTCGCCGGGAACTAGTGCCCGAATCCTAATCAGAGTGTGTCTGTCTTCTCTCGTGTTTGCAGAATAGTATCGTCTGGTGCAATACCTGTTTATGTCTTCCTTCTTCTGAGGACAGGAGGGCCCAAACTCAAGCAGACCCAGACCTACCCTGCTGACTTTGGTCGTGCTATAGCCGATCATCACGTGGACTTCGTTGCCCGTCCCCCAATTGCTTAGAGCCCTTATCCTGCAATCCCGTGTGACAGTTTATCCCCCCAGGTCAACCGAAAATGCTTTCTGCGACCGGCCGTTGCGGACTTGGCAGAGGCCCGGTCTTAGATATTCTTCCATTATTCAAGTGTTGGGGGATTGTCTTCCGTTGACTCGCTTTCGCTAGGCCGGCGAAAGGAAGTCGCCTTTGATGCCACCGTATGGCTGGAAACACGCCAACCTAGGCCCTGTAGCTGATTTTCTCTCTGAAGAGATTGCTACTGGCCGATATCGGCCGGTATTTCAGTTTCCCTGAAGGCTTCCTCCAGTGCAGCAGACAGCTCTCATTTGGGACATGTAATAAGGCAAGCACACACTGAGAGAGATTCAGGAGAGTGGCTGTGAAAAGGCTCTTCTGTACATACTGAATATCGCAGATCTAAGAACCTTCGCGGCAAAGGGGCGATCGCGCGGAGAGAAAACCAGCTAGCTACTTTCATTGTCCTTCAAAACTCAACAGCAAAACCTCAAGACAGCGTGAAAAAACACTAGCGTGAAACTACCGTGAAAATAGCGTGAAACACACCCGAATAACTGTGAAACCCACCCGAATAACTGTGATACTATATGCCTTGAAAAATCACTATGAATTGCGTGTGTCTCTAGGTGCCGGAACGCAAGTGTGAAGCGCGCGTGGGGCATCATGTGTGCGCATGCTGCACCCATCAGGATCAAGCCGAGCTCTTGGAGCGATCGTGCTCGCACTGTAGTGTGGGTTCAGGCTCATGGCAGTCAGTTGTGATGTGGAAAAAGTGTTGAAAAAGGCCCGCGACAGGGCGGCCAGAGCCGCCAAGGGTGTGAAGGAAGACTGTGCAGCGTTCTCCCCCGGTTCCTCCACCACCGGGCTGGATCCTGTGTAAGTATGCAATCTTGTATTTGGGGCTGTGTGGGCTGTGATTTGTGCATGCACACCACTTCAAGCGCTAAGGTCATCGAAACCAGCGAAGGAAAGCAAAGCGGACACCCCCCCGGGCAAGGCAACCTTTCAAAAAGGCCTTGTGGGCAAACGTCCACTTCGCACCGACTCCTTGGCAACAATCGTGGAGACGCCGCCCCCAAAGAGGCGCAGCAACTCTTTCGACCAGGGCTCCGCCTCGAAGCTTGCAAGCAGCACTGCGCCGACCCCAGACCACAGACCTGGAAAACACCACAGAACGGAAGCACAAAGCCCGAAAGGTTCAGCGACAGTTGGAAGAAGACTTTAACGAGGCCAAGGACTCGACCCCGAAGGTCAAAAAAGGCCCACCTGAAGAGGATGATAAGGAGCCAGCCAGCAAGCCAGGGAACAAGAAATCGATCCCCAAAGTAAGCCAAAGCTTGCAAAGCCAAAGGCCTCCGAGACAACCGTGAAGCCGAGTGCAAAAAGCAAGGCTAAGGCCAAGGCAACCAAGGCCACCAGCACAAAGGGCAAACGTGCAAAGGAGGAGGAGGAGGAGGAGGAGGAGGAAGACGAACAGCCAGGGACTGACCACGCCACCGCCAAGAGCAGCAAGGACACATCCCCACGGAAACCCAAGGCCACAACACAGCAGGAAGGCAAGAAGGCTGGGAGCCCAGGCAAGGACCCCAAGGAGCCAAAGCCAAAGGAGCCAACGGATGAGGAGGAGGAGGAGGATCAGGAGGGGAAGAAGAAGCTGGCACACAAGCTGTACATGCGGTTTTGGCGCAATGTGCACGGCCGCAACCCCAGAATAATCCACCGTTGCATCGTAACACACGGACCTCAAACCCCAGCGATTCCACTGCCTTGACCGATCTAGGCCGGGGCCCGCCCAAGGAGATCAAGCGTGCCTACGAAGCATCCAAGTACTGTGCTTTGGCAGAAGCATGTTCTTTATTCATGTGTCATGCACTATCAGCTTTTGTACATGTACATGTACACAGATCTATCCATGCAAGGCAAAGAGAAGATGTCGACGCTGTACGACGATTTCTACCAATGTAAGGGGAAATGGTCTAAGAGCTTAGTCCTGAAAACGATCCGGTCGACGTCGCGTGCCACCCGGAGAGGCACACGCAGGTGGCTCACAGAAGCCCAGCTCCTCACGCTCTTCGGCGGCGACAAAGAGGTGGTGAAATCCATTATACTACGAAAAGAGGTAGACGAGGAACTCCGAGCAAAGGAAATCAGGCATCATCCGGAATGCCCAGGCCTGGGGATGTTGGGCGAGGGAACAATCCGAGACCAACGCATCCTGTATCATGGCAGGCCTTCTTCAGTATCTGGTGTTGGTCGAGGATGAAGAGTGCGGGGAGTTTGTCGATGAGATCTCGGACATGTTCCAAGTGGAGGAAAGGGGGGAGGAAGGAGATGATTCCGACAGCGACGGTGACAGCGACAGCAGCGACGATGATGAGAGCAGCGACCGCGATGCTAAGAAGAAAGACAAGAAGAAACAGAAAAAGGCGATCCCCCGCTAGTGGCTTTGTGCGCGTACTCTTTGCTTCTGTGTGGGGGTTGTGTGTGAATGTGGCTTTGTAATATGTGTGTTTACATTAAATCATCGTGAGGGCAAAAGTGCGCCGAACAAGCGCCGTGGGAAGAAGCGACGAAACAAGAAGGGCAAGAAAGAGAAGAAGGAGGACAGTGCAGAGGAGAAGGAAGCAAAAGAAAGGAAGAAGAAAGCTGAGCAGGAGGCGAAGAAGGCAACGTCCCTAATTTGAAGGTGTTTGTTCATAGAAAAATATATTGTGCAAACACAAATATGCACACGATCACTGACTTATCCATCTTGCATATGCATATGCTCTCACCTAATTAGCATCACTAACTCATTCACTCACCCACACACTCAATCAATCACTCATCCATTGATGCACTCACTTGATCAGCCACCACTCACCCGCCCACTAACTCATGTACTGTCTCTTTCGCATGCCTTCTCGAACACACTCTTTCTCTCGCTGTCTCTCTCTGTCTCTCTCTGTCTCTCTCTCTCTCTCTCTCTCTCTCTCTCTCTCTCTCTCTCTCTCTCTCTCTCTCTCTCTCTCTCTCTCTCTCTCTCTCTCTCTCTCTCTCTCTCTCTCTCTCTCTCTCTCTCTCTCTCTCTCTCTCTCTCTCTCTCTCTCCCCTCTCCTTTTTAAGGCTGTCTCCACATCTGCACGTGTGCACATATCACACAAATACACATGACAACCTCACATACGAAGCCTCACTAATCCCCTGTTCGCATCCCAGGCCATCAACACGCTCAACAGGAAGATTCGCGAGAAGAAAGGCAAGCTCACTGATCTGGCTGGCTTGTGCCAGACTGAGCATACGATCTTTTCTAGTCTGCCTCATCTTATGTCGAACCCGAAACCCAGCCCAAAGCGCATTTGATAAATCGGCTCAGGAGCAAGAACCTCCGCAAGGCGGTCGAGCAGGACATGAATGATGTTCTGTCCGAGATGACCTCGGCCCGGGCGAGTTTGCAGGCAGCTTTGGACAGCGGGAAGGACCGTCTCTCATATATCAGTTGGAACCATTTCGACAAACCCTCTGAATGCAAGACCAACCCGGAAAGCCTGTACTGGAGTAACCCACTAGTAACAGTACGTAATAAAACCCATGCTAAGTTTTCCCCAAAGAAGTTGTGCAAGCCCCAGCTTTAAAAATCAATTGCTCAGGAGGAGAAGATGACTAGCGAGACTGCTGCAGCCCAGGACGTCATTGATCGTGATCAGAACTCTTTGTCGATCTCTAGGACCCCGAAGCCAAAGGCTAAGGGTGGCAAGAAGTAGGGAGTGCATCCGGAACACGGTGCCGCTACATGCCTCATCATTACATAAGTCCTTAACGAAAGTGCAACCCTACCTCAAATTTATAAATAATTTTATCTTAGGGTCCCCTAATGTCCATCTAGGCATCTTGTTGGGGCATAAGCGAGACTCCGCGTGGGAGGCAAGATGTGCTCAGGGCCGAGACTCGGCAGATTTCTAAATCGATGAATCTTTCATTGGCTTGACCCAATGAAGGCCTTAAGGTGAAAGGTGAGCAGCGAGCTCGCATGCGAACCCTGCCGTTTAGAAGAGTTTGTGCTTTGCTCGCATGGACTAGGAAGGGGAGTTCCTTAGCATCATGCATGCATTAGATGTGCAGACTGTACACGGCGGGCCTGGAAACAAGTGCAACTGTTACTTCACCCGTTGGCTGATGGGACTTGTGCAGCGAAGTGTTCGTAGCCTGAAGCCTCGCACGGTTCCCCCGCAGGTACTCCTTCCGGAGCAGCCCCGACGAACTCTGAGCTGCTAGATGATATGATCGATAATGTGGCCTCTGCCGTCGCTGAAACTTATCAGTTCGGAAGTCTGAAACCCCCAATAAACCCTAAACCCTAAACCCTGATGCCATCCCAAGGAAAGCTCAATCGATCGAGAGATGAGAAGCGCCAAGTCTTCATTGCGTGTGCCACGGCACACATGAACAGTCTACTGCTATGCTCTTGTAGAATCCTGCAAACCCGAATCCCACATAGTCAGCCCAGGACGCTTCTGGTCTGGTGCCACGATAGCTTCGCAAGCTCGGATCCTTCAGTGGCCGCAACAACTCTCGAGACTTTGAGCGGACCGTGAAGTTGCCCGTGGTGGGGGATACCCAACAGTAAGTTCTACGTTATATTAGCAGCTTGAGCATCGGTTCTAAGTTTAGTCTTAGGGCTGAACGGGTATAAATCTTAGATATTCTTGAACACTATATTATATGTTAGGTCTGTGTTCTAGTCGTTCATTTGCTGAACAGGAACCGGTATACATGGAGACTACACTGAAGAAGAAAGAGGACTCTTTGGAGGAGGTTACTGTCAAAGTGCCAGTGCTACTTCCGGACCGCATATTGGCCTATTTGTTTGACGTCGTGGGCATCAATATACCGCCTTCTACTTTAGCACAATATTGGAAACATTGCAAAGAGTTCATGCCCTGGGCCTCAGACGAGAATCTGGACGGGTCCCATATTCCGCTTACACTCTATGGGGACACGGCAAGATATGGCACGGGGTTCGATCAATCCAAAGTGACGGGCTGCTTCTTGAGTTTGGTATTGTGGAGTCAACCCGGATGAGTCATTTCCTGCTGTGGAATTTGAATGGCGACCGTAGCTTGGGATGGAAGAGTCACAACCCGCTGTACCTGGCTGTTGTGAAATCCCTCAACAAAGCCTTTGATGGTTTTACGTGGGAAGGGGCACAGCTGAATCGGAAGTTTTGTGTCACCCAAATCAAGGGTGATTGGGAGTATCATTGGCAAACATGGCGGTTGAACAGATACTACAAAACTCGATTTATCTGCTGGCGGTGCGATGCTGAGAATCACACCAATGCGGCGCACTCGATGACCGATGTCAGCGACAATCCATCTTGGCAGGCAACAGAGATTTCCCATAATCAGTTTGTCGTTGAGGGTACGCAGGATAATCATGTCTGTGACTTAGCAGCAACTACCGAGTCTTCTGTTGCAAGTAGGATTGAACCCGCAAAGATTATTTACAGAGTCAAACAACAAAGGTCCGTTGTTGGGCTTACGGTCGTTCCACTTCACGATGCTATGCCATTGCAGTCTTCACAATATAAACCTGGGTTTGGCCCAGGACGCTACAGGCTCAACTTTGATCCCGGGCATTTGAGTATTCTGAATTCTCACGTGCCGCAACAACTTAGTGATTCTTTGACTTGGGGGTTACTCCGTTTTTGGGTTACTGAAGCAATGATATTAGGATGTTGGAGCTTAGGATGTACCTGATTGAGAGTGGCTACTTCGGAGACCCGAGTCCGGAGATGAACTCTCTTCACCAGTTACTTGTGGTGGCCTTCCGGGACTTCAAGACCTTCCAACGAGAACGGGGGCTCAAGTGTTCGCAACAAAAGTTTGTTCCCAACTTTGTTCCTTGGGTCGCATCCATGACGGGCTTGTTGCAGGGTGGCATGGCACCATACAGCAGTATCTAAGTGCATCCGTTTTGTTGAAACACTGATGCCAGGTTTGGAAACCTGAGAAGCACGGTGCGCATATGGCCCATAAAGGCTACAATGGTCGAATAATAACTATGTGGCTTGGCAACTGTTGTGAACTTGCTGCAAAGCACAGCACAATGCCTTCTCGTGATGTTGGACAATGGCTACGCAAAAAACATGACGAAGAAGGGCAACCCTGGCCTGATGATACCCCTCATGCCGATACGCGTTTTCCGGTAATCTGCCTTGCTATGCTTCTTGGACCAACTTGATTGAAAGTTATCGGTCATGACACCCGTTATTTCCCACTAATACGATAGAGGTGAACTGTATTATTAATTACATCCCATAAACCATGCTCACCAAGGAAGTCGCTCTGCGAATGGTTCCACGAAGTGGAGGCGAATCCGATGTACCTGTGGCCAGGCTTTAACGGCTTTAATTTATTCCTAGCGTGGAGGTTAGGGGAATGTAGGGTTGGGGGTGCAATAGATTTGTGGGCGAAATGAGGACGGAGGCAGCTGCAAATACCATCTACAGATGTGGCATGCGATATCTTCGTTGCCACGTGCTGTTGTGCAAAATGAGTATGAGGACTGCCGTTGAACTTTCTCGTTACCCCATGTACTGACCGGCTCGTGCTCGCAATCTAATATTCTTCCGAAGGATGGAGAAGCTTCATTGGCATGTGCGACCGAAAGTGCACGATTCTCGTCTGCACTAAGCTGATCCGAAACAGATTTTTGCATTACTTTCCAACATGGACTTCGGATGTCCTACTCTAGGCTTTTGCGCACCAACTTCATGACTGCAGACGTCGCCGAGCTTTGGCAAACAAGGAGGCTCATAAGCATTCGACCACAATTGTGCGATGCTGCTGTAATTGCCCTGCCGACTTGCCGAGGGTTCAATATTCGGCATCATCATACGTTTCGAGAAGAACATGCAATGCAATGGCTTAAATGCGGCTGGACTTACAAAGATTTTCTGTGATGTGCAATGCAATCATTCCAGTGCCAGAGTAAACCTTAGCACAAACCCTGGAACAACCGAGGCGTCGCACAGACGTGCGACAAGAAAAAGTTCGAAGCCTCCGTAATTAAATTCGGAAGGTGGCGGCTGAAATCGCTGCTACGGAAATCCCGGATTGAAGCACTCAACAGAAGTGCCCGACATCGAAAGTGAAAACACTGCCCAGCGCACTTCTCGGCGATGATGTTGTAGACGGCTGTGGCTTGCTGCTGCCGTCGCACTGCTGGAGCTATTTAAGGGGAATTATGGATTCGTTTTCGAGGGCGAGGTTCTTGCATTATGCATAACGCAGGGAGGATGCAAGCATGTAGAAGTGCACTGATTGATTCGATAATTCTGTATTCGACCTGCTATCCCTTATAAGCCAGTTTTCTGCGTGGGTTAAGTCTTTGACGTATGTTACTTGAACGCACCCGTTAAACCCGTGGTTTGGAGGTAGTGGGTATATATATATATATATATATATGTGTGTGTGTATATATATATATATATATATATATATATATATATTCATTTCCAAGCGATAAACATAGACAAGCTGGCGGGCGCTACGATTCCAATGCTCTCCCCGCCGCCTTTTCCCCCCTCCAATGAACCCTAAACCTGTGACCCCTAAGCCTACACGGGTCTGCCGGCTCGGTGCGGGCTGACATGTTCAGGCTGTAGGTTGGAGTAGTCGGTGGTTGTGCGGCATGCAAGAGGCTCTGACGAACTCGATTCGCACGCCTTGTTGTTTGTGCTGCTGGCCCTGACAACCTTCATCACGATTCAGGCCTGTGGTTCAATGCTTATAATATGCCTGTGTGGGTTGAAGGTTGACGGTCCCGAGGCTTTAGGTTTCTATTCTTCCGCGGTTGGCATTGCGTGGGTGCTGCAAGTACCCACGACCCAACCTGGACACAAAAGGCATTTCCAGGCAGGGTTGGTGCAGCAGAATCAGAAGTGGTGAGCGATGTCGTAATCATGTGCGCGAGTCGCGATCACAGTAGAAACGGGCACCTGGTGACCCAACCAGGCTCACGGCGCAGCCTCAGGCGGCGAAGGCCAGGGGCTCACGCCGTCCGACGAGGGCAGCCGTTGACCCGGGAGCTCAAACCCTAAGCCCCAAACGAGGGCTGTGGTCACTGTCCGAGATGGCATCCCTGCAACCTGTCACAGTTCTTGCCGTCACGGTTTTTTTTTGTGACTGGGATTGAAGGCCTTCAAGTAGTCGAGCATGTCATGTTTTCCTCGCGCTGGGTTTCAGGGGGTTCTTCTACGACAGTTCTTTACTTTGCCTGGAAGGCCATGCTTGGGAGACGAGTTTGAGCTTTGTTTCTGGGCTTGTCCAACGGCGGCTGCTCATTTCCGGTGCAAGCTTCTGTACTAAACACACATCAAGCCACACGCCCAAAAAGCTTACAGCCCCAAACCTTCAATCTGAGGCAGTCACACCTGTTGCCGTGAACCCTAAACCCTGGAATTTATCGGAACTCCCAAACCTATATGACCTTGGTGTGCCGAGGGCTCCGTGCGTGCCATGATCTATGGCTATGGTTTGACACAGGCGGGCAGGGGCTCACGCAGTACTCGGGTTTCTACAGACCCAACCCTGTCCGGAAACGCAGTTTGGGCCCAGGTTGGGCCCTTGGTATTCGTGACTCGTAGCTGGTTGAAGACATTGTGGAGTTAAGCCGTTCGGTAAAGAGGAACCGTTACAGTGTCCACCTTGTTTGAGCAGTACTGTACATGGTAAGCAGTTTTGCAAACAGGAACCGTTTC